ACATGTTTTTTAATTTAGACCCAACTTACTAGAGGTTTGATAACATTTGTAAATATTCAAATTTACCAGTTCTAATATAAATATATTTCTTACCTTGCTGCTAGTGACAGTCATATTGCTTTGACCTGAAGAAGCTGATTTTTCCTGCTGTGAAAGGTTCTTGACCACTATTAATGTGGCAATAAGAAAACTTTGAAAAAGAAAATGATAAAGTTGGATAATAAAGAGAATTTAAACATTAATCTCTAATCAGTGTACGGCTTTCTGTTTGGACACATTTCTGTTCAATTGATAGAGCGGTCCTGTTGTTCTTGGAAACCTCATTGTCATCAGTTATGTTTCTATTGCATGCAAACGTGTCTTTAAAAGAAAAGCTGTTTGTCTTCCATCTGCTTTGGATAATCAAGCATGGCTCCTGATTCCTTTTGGAGATGAGCTGTAGGTAGGATATTTCTGAACTTACTGAAACCATAAGTTTACTTTCACTGATTGGTCATGTGATGTGGTTAGTACTTTAACACAGAAATATTCTGGTATGTATGGTTTTTATTTGAAGATGTTCCCATTTGTGTCTTTTTGAAAGACACCACCAAGTAAATTATTAAATTCTGGTATTAATCTGAATAAACATTGGCTTTAAAATCACTAAAAAGTTGTTTTAGGGTATTTAACATTGCTGCCCTCCCAGAAAAAACTAATTAATCTTATAGTTTAAGGAGCATTCCATCATATATTTTTTTTTTAAAGCTAGTTTCAAAGTTTCAGCTGCTTACACTGAGCAAAAGATTAAACCTCTTTCCCAACGCAATGGAACAAAACAGTGAAATAGCCTATTTGAAGCAGCAGATTATTCCTGTCAGTAAAATGGTTTTTGATGTGTTTACTGGAATAAGATAAAGACTGCAAAAAAAATTCTAGAAATAAGTCAATATTTCTTAAGTTAGGTGTATTTAACCTTAATTTCAGTAGGTAAATAAGATAAATTGTCAATTGAATAAGCATTTTTACTCTTAAAATAAAATAATTATATAATGTGCACTTGAAATAAGACGATGCAATTGTTGTTTTTTTATTTTGAATGTAAATTGTCTTGTCATATTGGTAAAGAGTTTTCGATTTTTTCCAGTGTAGCAAATAAAAATGTGATTCTGACTTAAATGGGGATTTCAATTAGTTTTCTTTGATCTGCAGACATCCCCGTCTCAGACATTTATAATATCTGGCCAGACAGTGGTCAACACCTGGGGAGCTAACACCTGGTGTCTGCCTAAAGTTATGTGAAGTGAAGAGAGGAATGGGAGATTCATGCGAAGGGGTTGTAATTCCAAAATACTCCTTTAATACTGTGGGCATTCAGCAACAGCTGCCACCTTTAAATAGAAAAAAATGTCCATAAATCTGTGAGGTTTACGGTGGATGGAGAGAGTGACAGAGAACAAAGCCAGGATAGTGTTTGATGGAGTAGGACGAGGGAATAAGTAGAGAAAGGTGAAGAGCAGAGTTTGATGGAGTGAGGAAAAGAAGGGGAAAAAGGTGGGGGAAAGTATTTGAGAGAAATACCTAAAGCAGAGACAGATCTGAACCAAAAGGAGAGCAGACGAAGATGAATAGACAGATGGAGACATGCTGTGTTCTCATTGCTGCAGTAGCAGATTGAATCCGCAGAGTGGAGTCTAAAACGGTCAGCAACAAGAAAAGACTAAGAGGCACCGTGGAAAACTGCATGGTAAAGTCATTGTACCACTGTCACCACTCCTTTATCCCTATTTTTATTTTCATTTATGCAAATACAAAGCCAGCAGATATAGGAAAGGGCTACTCGGTTGCAGTTATTGCACCTCATTTAATCGGGGCAACCTGGCTTATATTTTTGAGGACTGTTTTGACAGCACTTGAGAGGAAAATAAGGTTGAAACCCACCACCTTCTCACAGGATGTGGGATGTACTGCTAAAGGAGCATGGCGTAACGCGTTAAAGTTTACTGTCCGTTTTAAATTTTGCTCAGCCACGATCAATGTGAACAACTATTTATAAATCTGCTTTCCTTTCGACTGATCCTGTGATTTACTCATCAGTTTATGGCATAAACCCTCGTCCAGACATTTACGACTGAGGGGCCTCAAAGTCCCACATGATGTGGAGACTATTAAGGTCTATTCACACTCAATTGCCTTTATGAACTGCCAACTTCTTCACTTGAAAAAAATGATAATAATTGAAAGCACATGTAAGGCGGATAGAGAATGACACTCAGGAAGAGCAGTCAGTTTTCCAAGCTTTGGGAGGTGAGATTAGAGGACAAATCCTTCTGTCATTCATGTATACTTGATGTATTAGAATTAAAGTAAGTCATGTTTTCATAAAATATGTGCATTTTTTTTCTTGAACTGAGCAGGTAAGTGAGATACCACTGGAACAATACTATTTATATTTAAAATAAGAAGAAACAACAGCAGTCTCTTATTTCGAGTGTATAATATTACACGCATTATCTTATTTTAAGGGTAGAAATGCTCATTCCCTTGGCAGATCATCTTATTTTTCTATTCAAATTAAGGACAAATCCCTTATTTTAAAACATTTTTACTAATTTCAGACTGTTTTTGCAGTGTAGCATAAACAAAAGGATGAAGAGTTCAACGTGATGCAAAAAAATAAAACTTTTTAGTTTCTCATTGATCTAGTTCCTGTCACCATGTGACTTAGCCTGAAGAAATAAGATCTATTTCTGTCGGACCAAGAAATGAATAAGATAGCTTTAAACTTCGAGCCCAATATTCATGTTTGAGACTTTTTAAAGCAAGAAAGGAAGTCTATTGTTGAGCTGGCGTTTAAAATTTGATTATAAGCTCACAGGTTAAGCACCCTCCATCAGTACAAACAATAAAAAAAGCAACAGAGGGTGAAAAATCATAAGCACTGTTTGCACAAAGGTTAGCATCCTACAAAAAGAAATCTGCTTCCAAACTTTAGGCATCCTTTTAAATTGAAGTGTCAAGCAAAAAAAGTAAAAATACTTTGCTACATTACTTAAGTAAAAGAATTGGCTATCTATACTCAGAGGTGTCAAGTAACGAAATACAAATACTTTGTTACTGTACTTAAGTAAACTTTTAAGGTATCTATGCTTTATTCTATTACTTATTTTTCTTCCTTCTTCTGACTTTTACTCATTACATTTTCACACCGTTACTGTATCTGTACTTTCTATTCCTTACATTTTTAAAACAAACATTACTCGTTACTGTTGGCTTCGGTCTTCAGTTTATAAATATTTATTTCACGTCATGTGTGCCATCCAATTCAGATCACTGGAGCCATCCACATCTAGTGAAAAATAGTGTGATTAGATGAGAAATCATCAGAAGCAAGCAGGTGTTCTTCAAACTGCAAACGTGAATTGTCTATGCCATGCTACAATGTGGGATTCAGAAAAAGATGTTGAAATGTCTGAAAGGTCGGACACAGGCGAGAGCGTATCGGGAGATGGAGACCAACAACACCTCCCTCATCCTTGGTCCTATCTCAAAGAATTTTTTCCAAATAGTCGAAAAATGTAGATTTTAATTCATATAGTGGCATCTGGCTGTTTTTTTTTAAAGGTTACTTTATACTTTTATACTTTAAGTAGTTTTTGGAGCACATACTTTTTCACTTTTACTTGAGTAAAGAGGTCAAAATGATACTTCAACTTTTACCAGAGTGTTCTTAAACTGCAGTATCTATACTTCTACTTAAGTAACAAATGTGTGTAGTTTTAACACCACAATCTATACTTTACTGGACTAATATTTTTTAGAAAAATGTTAACTCAAAAATATATCTCTACTTTCTACCCCTTACATTTTTTTTTATTTAATTTGAGCTCAATTCCATTATGGCCTGTTAGAGTTTAAAAAACAAAACATAAAAAAAACCATCAAATTAATTTGTTTCATTCTGACAATTTCTATGTGCTTGGACTCGGTGCTGCCCCAACTTGTTTTCCACCACATACCAAAATAAATCGTTTTTTATGATTGTGCAAAGTGAAATTTGACACTGCTGCCATTAGTTATAAAACTAACTAAATCAAGTAGCCGAAAAGGAAGTTATCATCCAGAACTGTAGAAATGTTTTCTCTTTAACAGGGTAGTGCATTAAATCCTCTGTCCTTAACATTTTTGTCCTGCATTTAATTTTATACCTGAAGTACTTTTAAAAATTATACTTTTACATTTGTACTTAAGTGAAATGCTTAAGTTGATCCTCTAACTTCTACCAAAGTTTTTTTTTTATTTTTTTTTATAAACAGTAGGATTTATACTTCTACTTGAGTAATAAACATTAATACTTTTTACGCCTCGATTTTTGATAATCTGGACTGCATCTGATCATCTTTTTATTTCAATCTAAAACACAGAAAACACAGCTGAAGATTGCTGGAAACAACATTCTATAAACAGTTTTTTTTTTTTTTTTTTTTTTTTGTTTGGGGGGAGTACAGTAATAATAGCCACCACAAATTTTTTTTTTGAGTATAACACAACAGATGTTTGGATACACTAATATTTTTTTTTTTTTACCATTGAAGTGAAGCATGAGGAACGTTTTCTTCATCCCCTCATTTATTACCACATGTTGTTGATCATCATGGTCTTTGAACCAGCTTGTGTATTCACACGCGCAATTAGAGACTAATGAGGAAAACAATCAACGTAACCACATAGTCCAATGATTTAAATAAAAATAACTTTTCCAAGTGTTTCTGGAGATCCCCACAGTCTTTACTGTCCTAACCTAGACTCTGTTTAATGCTGAGAAAAAAGGTCTGATTAGATCATTTCAAACTTTGTTAAATGAGAAAAGTTGAGATTTAATAAATCAGCTGATGTTATTCAAAGAGACAAGGGAAACATGTTTTAGCTTAACCTAAAGTTTGATTTGTCTTAGGTGTTTTAGGTGTCTTCTTCTTAACGTTTGAATCATAAAAAGTGCTAAAGCGTCAGTGTTTACTTACCTTGACCTAAAGCCACTGGGGCCAAAAGAAAGAGCTGAAGCAGGAGTTTAATTAATCCCAACATTGTGCTGATGACGACAGATGATCACAGATTCGGCATGGATACAAGTTTAAGAGCAATCAAACAACCAGATCTGCAACAATTTGTCACCGCTGAGGCTTCAGACCATCAGGTAGGGATGATGCTGCCCGCCTTGCGGAGTCTCGCCGTGTCTCTTCCTCATGTGGGTTGCAGACAGGGGCTTTTTAAAAGAAGGGGCTTCAGGAGTGCACACCAATCCAGCCCCTCTCTCCTTACCATTGGTTAGTGAAATGGAACATCTGGGTCCCCCATATCATTGTCCAAGAAGAGGAAAAAAAATGGTGAGGGCCTGCTCAGGGTAGAGAGGGGAAGGATGCACACAGTCAGTGGGTGTGTTAGGGGCTACAGTCTGTAAAAACCAGGAGGTGTGTTTTTTCTTTTCGTTCAAACTCATATTTCACATTTCCTCTTTATGGCTTAGCCACAGCTTCATTTAGGTATTGACCCTTTTAATGCTTGTGTATTAAGTGTCCTTTGCAACAGTGTTGTTATATTTGTCCAATAAACAGGTGTGCATGTGTTTGTTTCCTTCTTTAAACTTCTATTCTGGTTTCTGTCTCCATCTTTAATTTAAAAGGGGATAGTAAAGTATATTCTATTCTATACTATCTTATTAAACACAACCAGGGACTATTTATTTAGTTATTTGAAAAAACATCTTAAATAAATTCATAGAATAATCTAATCTAACTTCTTTGAATGTTCAAAATGTACTAAATGGCTCTAATACTTTCCTTCAAGTAGCTTAACACCATTATTTTCCCTGTTTCTCTGTAAATACGTAAAGACTACCTGCGGCGCACACACACACCCGACCAGACTGTGGTTCAACTTCTGGTGCAGTTTTGCAACTTTTTAACAGTTGTTGATTGCCCAGTGATGCACTGCCAAAGACTGGAAGTAACGTCATATGGCAAGCCATTCAGGAAAAAGTCCTAGGAGCACAGACGCGAGACGTGCTTATGAGGTGCAATGTACTTGAGCTCATTTTAAGCATGTGTATTTGTTGAGGAAAATGTTGGAAATTAAATAAACTAATTAAATACAGCCCTTTTATAGATCTCTCTTGGTCTGCTGTTAAAAATCGTGTTAAAGAACACAACTAAAAGAATGTAATCCCTGCAATTAGAATAGAAAAATAACTAAAACTCTGTATTATTGAAAACAGTCATGTAAGACATAATTAACATTATAGTCACTGTTGTGGTATGTTAGCAGTTGATGGATGTAATGTTGATTAAATAAAAAAGCAGCCAGAAGACAGTCCTCCTCGATAGTGGCTGCTGTGATGCTTCTTAGATTTTTTTTTGTTTTCTGATTCTTTTTCGTCTGATTTTGTTTTTATTGTGTTTTAAAACCTATAGAATTAATCGATATTAAAGGAATAGTACACCCAAAACATGATTAGCCTTCATTTTCTACTCACCCCCATGCTGAACAACACTCTGGAGTACTTTTTTGATATCTCAAATGCATCTGGAGATCTGGGAGGCTTCTTGCTGTCTGCTGACATTCAAATAATGGAGGTCTATGGTGCCAGAGACAGAAAGGTCCATAAAAGTCCACAAAAAACGTTTCAATATTCCTCCATACTGCTCGTCCAATGTATTCCAAGTTTCCTGAGTGGGTAGCATCCAGAATTTACTCGAAACGAAGTCATTTAGAATGTTTTTAGAGCATAAACAGTAGTGTATAGGATTTCCTGAAAGCGCGCACATGCGCGATCACGACGCTACGGAAGCCGGCAGACCAAACCAGCGCATTCAGCTCGGCAAAGAACTCATGCTCTTCCTCAACACTGAAGTCCTCAGACATTTTTCTTTCGTTGTTTCTTTCTTTGCACAGGTAAACGGCAGATTTCTTCTTCTACCTTGCATTATTGGAAGAGCAGATGCTGAATGCGCACTTTCATCTGGTTTGGTCTGCCGGCTTCCGTAGCGTCGTGATCGCGCATGTGCGCGCTTTCAGGAAATCCTATACACTACTGTTTATGCTCTAAAAACATTCTAAATGACTTCGTTTCGAGTAAATTCTGGATGCTACCCACTCAGGACACTTGGAATACATTGGACGAGCAGTATGGAGGAATATTGACACGTTTTTTGTGGACTTTTATGGACCTTTCTGTCTCTGGCACCATAGACCTCCATTATTTGAATGTCAGCAGACAGCAAGAAGCCTCCCAGATCTCCAGATGCATTTGAAATATCAAAAAAGTACTCCAGGGTGTTGTTCAGCGTGGGGGTGAGTAGAAAATGAAGGCTAATCATGTTTTGGGTGTACTATTCCTTTAATGTGTTAAATTCATTAACCTACATATACATGTTGTACAAATTTAATATATTGACCGCCTGCCCCAGCAGGGGTGGTAAATATGTTATTTAATCTGAAAATATTATGACAATCAAGTATTGTTTATTAACACAAGCCTTTATTGGCTGTGTGTAACAAGAACAAAGAAAAGTGTTATTTGAGCTGAAATCATGATCAAACAGATAATTCTACACATACATGGAATAAATTTACCACTACTTCCATTCAAAATATAAGAGTTTATTAACCAAAATCATTAAGCTCAAACATATTTCAGTTAAAAATTTATGACTAAAACCAACAAGGTTTTGACTAATTTAAAGCAATTGTAATGTTTTTAAACCAATTCACAAAGCAAATCCATGAGGTAAATAAAACATTTGGCCAAATGTTTCATTAAATGATTTGCTTAATCAGAAATCAATAACCTTTAGTGATTTAGCTGGCAGACCTGAGGATTCCATTAAATGACTTGTGGTCTTAGTTTGGTGGTCTAAATGTAATGAGTATATGAAAAAAGTCACACCTCTAGGAGTGTATATTAGAGTGCCATATTTTCCAAACCTTTCTTCCCTCCAGAAGGAAATTATACCATTCATGACAAAGAGCTTCCTGCTGTAAAGTTGGCACTTGAAGAATGGAGGCACTGAGTTGAAGGTTCCTAGCACTATTCTCTATTTATTCAGTGGATTGCTGATTGCTTGTACGGGGTTAAAGTGAAGCCACCGTCTAACTATGAAGTACCATATTGGTACTTCATAGTTAGACCGGTTGCAATGTAAACAATATGTGCACCACAGCATCGAAAAATGATGATGTTCTCATTTTCAGGGGGACTTAAGACTTAAAAAAAAAGATAAATTCATCACTTTGACACACACTTGCTGTTTCATAGCATAAGTAGATTAACCTATAATAAAAAAAATAGGCACATGACATTGCATAGTTATTATGAAGTCAATGCAATAAAGTCTATATATATATATATATATATATATATATATATATATATATATATATATATAGACAACTGTTTTCTCACCCCTCGTGGGGTGGTATGTGTCATCCTCAAGCTCCGGTCCTCTACCAGAGGCCTGGGAGTTTGAGGGTTCTGCGCAGTATCTTAGCTGTTCCTAGGACTGCGCTCTTCTGGACAGAGACCTCTGATGTTTTACCTGGAAACTGCTGTAGCCACTCTCCCAGTTTGGGGGTCACAGCTCCCAGTGCTCCAATTACCAGTGGCACCACTGCTGCTCTTACTTTCCACATCTTTTCTAGCTCCTCTTTCAGCCCTTGGTATTTCTCAAGCTTCTCGTGTTCTTTCTTCTTGAGGTTGCTGTCGCTTGGGATTGCCACATCTATCACTACTGCCTTCTTCTGCTGTTTGTCGATCAACACGATGTCTGTTTGGTTAGCCATCACCTGTTTGTCAGTCTGGATCTTGAAGTCCCATAGGATCTTAGCTCTGTCATTCTCGGTCATTCTCAACTACCTTAGTCTTCCATTTTGACCTTGGGACTTCCAGCCCATACTCATGGCAGATGTTCCTGTATACTATGACAGCTACCTGGTTGTGGCGTTCCATGTATGCACTTCCTGCCTGCATTTTACACCCCGCTGTTATGTGCTGTATTGTTTCAGAGGCATCTTTGCACAGTCTGCATCGGGGGTCCTGCCTGGTGTGGTAGACCTTGGCCTCTATTGATCTTGTACTGAGTGCCTGTTCTTGTGCTGCCATGATTAGTGCCTCTGTGCTGTCCTTCAGTCCAGCCTTTTCCAGCCACTGGTAGGATTTTTTGATATCAGCCACTTCTTCTATTTATCTGTGGTATACGCCGTGCAGCGGCTTGTCCCTCCATGATGGTTCTCCTTCCTCTTTCTTGTCCTCACTTTCGGTTTTCTCCTGCCTGAGGTATTATACCAGCGGGGTATCTGATGACTGGTAGGGCATATGTGTTGATGGCTTAAATCTTGTTTTTCCCATTCAGCTGACTTTTCAGGACCTGCCTTACTCTTTGTAGGTATTTAGCTGTGGCATATATATATATATATGCCACAGTGCATGAACCGAACTCAACACACATGAATCGAACCGAGACAGTCGAACCGAACGGTTCGGACGGTTTTTATAAACCGCTCCATCCCTAATATATATATATATATATATATATATATATATATATATATATATATATATATATATATATATATATATATATATATATATATATATATTAGGGATGGATATATATATATATATATATGTATATATATATATATATATTTATACATACATATATATATATAATCCACTTAATATAATAAAGAATTACTACATTGACATTTCACAGTAAATTACTTTCTGTTTACTCTACTTTCTAACTTTAGATATAATTACAACGGCTAACTAAGTCAAACTGAGATACTCAGACTAATGGCGACTAATGTTACGCTACATACTGCACTATAGGATACATCGGCATACATATGGATTTTCTTGGTTAGCACATTTATTACTTGCTTTTGCAGCCAAATGCTAAACACAAAGTCATTTTGACTGCGCACCTCCGTGGGAGTGGGGATAACCAGGACGGTGGACGGTGGCTTCACTTTTTTCAGGCAATCAGCAATCCAGTGAACAAATAAAGATCAGTGGTTCCAAGCAGCTAATCTTGCAGTTAGATGTAGTTAGCGAGATGATAGCTGGCTATTCATGTTGGGTCAACCTAATTCAACAAGGTGAAATGGTGTTGCTACCCTCTAAGGGATTTGACTTGTAACCCAAGTTACAAATATCAGATTGTTTTTGTGTTTTTTTTTTTCAGTTACCATTTTTATTTAGTCTTTAGCTTCAGTAAAATTAGGAATTCAACACTGATTAGGTTACTGCCAAAACTTAAGAACAACGGCAAAAACAAAGTTAACATTTACTGTAGCTGTATTAAACAGACCTTGAAATGAAGTATACCATATAGTGCTCATTCTTGATGACAAAAAATATCTGCTGAATAGCATTCAATCTTTCTATGCTTACAATCGTACTTATGTAAGTATGAACAGGCCAAGTTAAAAATATGGCAATGTTTTTCCCTGAAAAGACACCATTACTTCTCATTAAATTTATAAAACTCATTCAGCTCCATCATCTACTGCTAAATCTGATCTATTAAGGCCAGCCAATGATCTGAAAAAAACCTTTTGGTCACATCTGAAATATTCATACCCAATTAGTATAGGATTTAAATCATACAGTATATTCAACATATAACTTTTTCCTAATAGAGAACTAATCTAAAAAATAAAAATTAAAAGATTTTACTTAAATCTTAGTATATTATGGAATTTAAAAAATATTTCTCCCTCTCAGTTATTACTGGGAAAATATTTTTTGGCATTAATGGATTCCTCAAGAACCAAACAACTGACGGATTGTGGTGCCTTATCATTTTCTGATCCCATCCAAGGCAACTACCCCTATGGTCCGTATCAAAAACTGCCACACACAGTCTGTTAGTAAATACTGAACCACCACTGACATTACACATAACAGTAGACTCTGGTGTTTATTATTCACCAGTCCTGGTGATGAGCACTACTGACACTTGAACGAGTCATTGTTGCCTGAGAATGGTTTGGATGGACATTAAAGACTTGGCCACTGATAGTTCAGACATATTTCCACAACCATCTTCTGTTTTCTCCAGACTCTACAGAGTAAAAAAAATCAAGCATTCCTTTTCTCTGACCGCCTACACCCACTCACACATGCACACTCACCAAGCATTAACGAATTAGTATGCTGAAGACGCTCCTAAACTTTTTACAAATACACATTACCTCAGCCATAAACAGCCCAGCAGCCTGAGTTTTAGTCATTCTCACCAAAAGCTACAGCTCTTAACTCCACATCAACAGACCATCCTCTCTAGCTGATTAAACCTGTTTACAGCTTCTATTAACAAACGTAATCCTGTTGGGAGCAAGTCATGTAACCATATGACCATGTTTAAAGAAGCCCAGCTTTAATTGTTGCAATGTGCTTATTTTCCAAACCTGGTTTGGTCGGACAACCTATTAGAGCCCCACTCATATATGCAAAATTCACATTTTTAGATTAGATTTTTTTCATTTTCTAACCACAAACCTGTCAGATAATGATGTTATGCACTGAAATGCAGCAGACACCTGGAACACAAATTAAATGGCTTTGATAAGGAAAATACCAGACTGAAATGATAAGGATTGCAAACCGGCATGCAAACAGGAGACCCAGTGACGAAAGCAAGCTGAACAGAGGCTAGTACAGACTGTGGAGTGAACAAGGAGATAAAGGCAAATTGGATTCACTGACTGCTTGGTGGCACTGGCTGAGGCCAGCTTCATTCTTACCATGTTCTCTCTTGCTCTGTCATCTGTTGCAAAATATGCCATGCAGCAATCCCCATGTGATGATAGGACTATGTATCAGCTCTTATTTTGAAATCTACCGGTTCTGCTTTACTTTTCCTGTTTTTTAACTCCCATCTGGCTAATTTAATTTTCAGGCATTGACACATCTGATGGATTTATTACCACAGCAGGAATGACCAGATTGACTAGAGAGGAGGGAACAGAGGGTGGACAGCTTAAGGCCAGAAAGGAGGAAAAAGGGAGAAAACCAACAAAACATCAGGAAGTCCAAGGATCAAAATGAAATCTCAAATCGCCAAGGGATCGAAAGAAAAAATGCTCTGCAGTAGAAAAATTGTAAATGGTTTCCAAAACTGTATACAAATGTATATATATTTTTTTGCTGTTCAGTTAATTAAACTCTGTTTGGTTACAAAGCTAAATTTCAGACATTAAAGATCTCACAGAGTACTGTACGAATTTCTCAGCAATAGAAAGGTACTGCACAACAGAAACACTAAAAGATGTGAATGATATTTAGATCAAAGTCATGCAGATTCATGACTGTGGTCTATACCTATTTTTTATTTATATGTAGTCCTAACTAGGTAGCATTAAATACTGATAGGGGTCTTTCATTTCAGATTTTACATTTTGAAATTGAAAAAAAGTCACAAACCAAGTAGCTTTTTCCTCTTCCTCACAGTTATACACCACCTTATATCAGTCTGTAAAAAAAGGAAGGCTAGAATACTATTTCCAGGAATTATTAAAGGTGTTGTATTAACATTGAACAAATTTTTTATGTATACCTTGTCATTAAAAGTCAGATATTGTAACCATTTCTTTTTCTGCCACCGGTTTTGAGCAAAAATAAATACAGTGCAGCTTCATTTATAATTGTTATGGTGGTGAAAAAAAAACAACAACACACAAGTGATTTTTACATTTCCTGAAACTGGACAGATTTTATTATTGGTCTACAAGAAATATCTGGAAAAACAGATCCATTAACTCAAAGATTGTAATATGTGTCTAAATTAATTGACAATCAAAAAAACAAAAATGTATCTATTTGAAATGCCAACATACACCACTTTATTTTAGCAGCACACTCAGGAAATGGGGTACGGAAGGTGTACATGAGAAAAAAAAAGCTTGGGTACTTAGAAAAAAAAGCAGTGACAGTAAGGATAGAAAACTTTTTCTTTTCTTTGCTGACTCTGGAGTTTAGAAAACAGTGTAGTGCTACAGCTTTCACGTGCCAACTGAGAAAAAAACGCTCCATACCATTTCCTAAACACACCACTCAAAGCCATGGGTCTAAGAATCATCGTTTTACAGTAGCTCAGCAACACATTCGGTTAAAGAGCATTTGGAATCTAGACAACCAAGATGTTTACATTAAATTACAGCAACCACCTATAAAATTCAACCAGTGGAAGACTGGCTGCACCGCCGGGTGTTTCTGTGCGCTACAGTTCCAGGAGACAGTCCGTGCCAGCATAGTCTGGGATGTTAAGCTCATACTTTTTCTGAATGTCATAGGGCAGGAAGCGTCCAGCCAAGAAATGCTTTCCAGAGAAGTTTTGGGCACACTTCTTTGGTGCCATAAGCGAGATGAGAACTTCTGGGTTTATCCCATCCTGACTTGGTTCATCTGCATTCCAGCCTGGAAGAGAGAAAAGGGGAGATTTGTATGAATATTATTCGACAGGTGCTGAAGTTGAACGAACTCAGACTAAACGGACTGCAGAGCAGTATTTATCCTCCATGGCTGACACCACACCTGGAAAGTTCCTTTCTGGAAGCCAGGGCTCCAGGGAAGGTGCTGTATAGCCTGTTTATCCTGCTCTGTTGCCCTAATGTCAGATAGATTAAAAACTCACCTGAGGGCACATCCACACTGACAATTGGAATCTTGATCTGCTTCAGGGTGACCAAAATCCCAGAATATGGCTCCTTAATATTGGATGAGTCTGTCTCAAGGCCCAGCATGGCATCGATCACAATGTTGTAGGCATCATTTATAAGCTGCACCTGAACAAAGCAAAAAAAGAAGGTCTTAGTGCATCCAGAAACAGTGCATCCCAAACAGACCATTTAATATAGCCGCTAGATAGGATGTTTGTTTGAAATGAACACACATGCTCCTGCAGGAGAAGTAAGATATGATCATGGAGCCATATTCCATCAACTCTCAGAGACTTTTCCTATCACTGTATTTTCTTCACGTTTGTATTTGGATGCACGTGTGATTAAACAGCAGGCAATGATCAAAACTTGTTTTTAGAATTTAGAAAGTTTTTATCTAACAAGTTAGCAGATCCCCTTAGCTATGCTCTCCAGCTGAGATCACTTTACTGAGAAATGTTTCTATCAACGCAAATCGGATAGAACTCTTTTACCTGCTTCTTACTTCAAGCTGTAAGGTTTATGGAATCTGAGGTTTGACTCAGCCCAAATTGTTCACAATCTAAACTTTCATCTGTCCTGGTGGTTTCACTGTTTCCTTTAACTCCCTTTGTTATAAGTCCTGGTACATTTTATAACAGTGAGCTCTATGCTTCACACATGGTAACATTTCTCTGAGTTTAATTTCTCTCAGAAATGTCCTTGATAACGTTGTCCAGCGGATTTAACAATAAATGTTTTTCAGATTCATCGGCTCAAAATTCATTCCAAACTTTTCTTTTAACTTTCTTTTTGGCAAACAGTGTGGCCTTCATCTTTTTTTCAGAGAAACCAAAGGCTTCTTCGTTGCGTACCTCCACTGAAAGTTGCATAATATCTTTCTGATTATATTTTTTACAGCCATGCATTTCCTCATTAACAGCAACAAGAACCAGCTGACAGCCAATAGTGATTTTTCATGTTCTTTAGGGATCTTGCAGTCTGCTCTCATGTACTGAGATGGCCAGATCTGAGCATGTTATCACTTGTTTTACATGGGCCCACTTTTTTTATACAGTATACTGTTTAATTTAACATATTTGTAGATTACTTAAAAGACCACATCAGAGACATAAGCTGCCTTCTTCTTCCTGAAGGTGTCAGAAGTCAGGAGCAGCCTAAACAAATTAACCCTAATCAAATTAAAATGCTGGTACCAACATCACAGCTGGTCCTGATCTGGGCTCTCAAACCCTTTAGGGCCTTTCTTCAATTCTTTACATTTGTTTATTCAGGATGAGCATGAGTTAGTCATAATAACAGTCTTTGTTCTCTGATGGTTGTAGTAGCATACAACAGCTAAAGCCTAAGGCTGTAAGTTTAATCTTTTCTTTGTGTTGGAGCTTGTTGTGTTTAGGGGAACATCTCAGAAGATGGTAACTGATGAAATTATTATAGATTCTGCCAAATGGTCTTGGGGCCCTGCACTGAATGCTGAATGCTCATAGCCCCCTGCACTGACTGCTGAATGCTCATAGCCCCCTGCACTGAATGCTGAATGCTCAGAGCCCCCTGCACTGAACGCTGAATGCTCAGAGCTCCCTGCACTGAATGCTGAATGCTCATAGCCCCCTGCACTGACTGCTGAATGCTCATAGCCCCCTGCACTGAATGCTGAATGCTCAGAGCCCCCTGCACTGACTGCTGAATGCTCATAGCCCCCTGCACTGAATGCTGAATGCTCAGAGCCCCCTGCACTGAACGCTGAATGCTCAGACCCCCCTGCACTGAATGCTAAATGCTCATAGCCCCCTGCACTGACTGCTGAATGCTCATAGCCCCCTACACTGAACGCTGAATGCTCAGAGCTCCCTGCACTGAATGCTGAATGCTCAGAGCCCCCTGCACTGAACGCTGAATGCTCATAGCCCCCTGCACTGAATGCTGAATGCTCAGAGCCCCCTGCACTGAACGCTGAATGCTCATAGCCCCCTGCACTGAATGCTGAATGCTCAGAGCCCCCTGCACTGAACGCTGAATGCTCAGAGCTCCCTGCACTGAATGCTGAATGCTCATAGCCCCCTGCACTGACTGCTGAATGCTCATAGCCCCCTGCACTGAATGCTGAATGCTCATAGCCCCCTGCACTGACTGCTGAATGCTCATAGCCCCCTGCACTGAATGCTGAATGCTCAGAGCCCCCTGCACTGACTGCTGAATGCTCATAGCCCCCTGCACTGAATGCTGAATGCTCAGACCCCCCTGCACTGAATGCTAAATGCTCATAGCCCCCTGCACTGACTGCTGAATGCTCAGAGCCCCCTGCACTGACTGCTGAATGCTCATAGCCCCCTGCACTGAATGCTGAATGCTCAGAGCCCCCTGCACTGAATGCTAAATGCTCATAGCCCCCTGCACTGACTGCTGAATGCTCATAGCCCCCTACACTGAACGCTGAATGCTCAGAGCCCCCTGCACTGAACGCTGAATGCTCAGAGCTCCCTGCACTGAATGCTGAATGCTCATAGCCCCCTGCACTGACTGCTGAATGCTCATAGCCCCCTGCACTGAATGCTGAATGCTCAGACCCCCCTGCACTGAATGCTAAATGCTCATAGCCCCCTGCACTGACTGCTGAATGCTCATAGCCCCCTGCACAGAACGCTGAATGCTCAGAGCCCCCTGCACTGAACGCTGAATGCTCAGAGCTCCCTGCACTGAATGCTGAATGCTCATAGCCCCCTGCACTGAATGCTGAATGCTCAGACCCCCCTGCACTGAATGCTAAATGCTCATAGCCCCCTGCACTGACTGCTGAATGCTCATAGCCCCCTGCACTGAATGCTGAATGCTCAGACCCCCCTGCACTGAATGCTAAATGCTCATAGCCCCCTGCACTGACTGCTGAATGCTCATAGCCCCCTGCACTGAATGCTGAATGCTCAGAGCCCCCTGCACCGCATGCTGTTAGTGGTGATGAAGAGGGGAGCCAAGCCATATTCAGCTTAAGGTACCACACAAGCTTGAGCAAATCCAGATGAACGTCTAGTGTCCTCTCATGTCATATTTTTAAACAGTAGCGGCTATTCAATATTTCCCCACTTTCCTTGATGAGTCCTTGGCTGGTCCCCTACAATTCCTTTTTAAACATCAACCTTTGTACTAAAATATTCTCTCTCTCATTTTTTGTGGACATTAAGATAAAGAAAAGTGTTATCTCTTCATCAGACATTGTAATTAAATGAAAGGGTGGAGTCAAGTAAAAAAATATGCCCCCACTGGAAGTTGAAATGGATTTTGCTGGAAGTCGCAGGGAAGTGGGCATTGACAGAAAAAGGGCCATTTTGAATGGCTGCTACTGTAAATCATTTAGTGGACATGAACCTGAATCTTTATGCTGGTTGATTTCTTGCCATGATTCTTTTTATCTCTTTATGTCAATTGGTATCTTTTGGTAGGTATAAATCTCAATGTCCAAGTATCCAGTAAAACTCACAGGCCCTACATAGCCCCCCTATTATCCCAAATGAAAGTGAAAAACATTTACTTTCAGTTTAGCATTGTGAGGCTTTAGCCAATGGCTAAATAGTTTATCATAAAATTGCTGAGGGTAATGAGACAGTCAGGGTGATGGAGGGGCATTCTTAAGTCTCTTATTTGTTTTAAGAGACACTTGGCAGCGACAAGTTTTCAAAAAACATTTTCAAAACATTTTCTTAATCTATGTGAGCAATCTAAAAGATCAGATATCAAAAGTGGAGATTTGTGTTACTGCAGGTATTTTTTACACAAAAAAAAACTGTATATTCACATGATGGCTTTAAAAGGAGGAGCAGCTTCAATCATCTTTAGCAGGGATGTGGAAAATGCTTCAAATCTAACCGGGAGGGATTTCTCCATGCTATAAGAGAGCAGCACCATCTTCTTCTAAAATAACCTAAAGTCTCAAATTATTTAAAAAAATGCGATATTAACCAGTCATCTACTTTAAAGAGACTTCAGAATAGGAACACTCAGTAAATATAGAGGAGAGGATTCTGGGTAAGCAGCAGTTAGAGGCTGTGCAATATAATTTCAGACTAATTTAAGGAAATAATTTAACAATTATTAACAAGTTATGAGCAGCATGTTATTTTTTCTTCAGAATGATGGTTAAAAAAAACTATATAGAAACTCATAAATTTGGATTTTTAAGACATACTAATAAATCCAATAGAAGAATATTTAAGAACAAATTGGTGTTCGGGTGAGATATGGTTATAAAAATGCCTAAATCTGCCTTAAAATTTAAATTAAAAACTTTGAAAGATGATACATTACAGTCCGTTTCTGTTCGTATCGTGTTGCTATGGTTTCATTTAGGGCTGCAACTAACGATTATTTTAAAAATCGATGAATCGGACGATTATTTTTTCGATTAATCGATGAATCGGACAAAAAATATTTTTTATATTAACCTCTTTATTCCAAAATAAACATTTAGACAGAACAAACAAGCACATAAGTACAGGTTGCTCATTAACTGTACTGGTGCAATATGAAAAATAAATGTTCACTGCATGAAAAGTGGGATTTTCGTCAATATACGGCACTGTAGATTGTCGTGGAATTTCAGGTTAGCGGCAGTTTACGGCAATTTGCAACCTTCGCCGAAATCTCCCGTAAATTGTCAGAAATTGACGTGGAATTTCTTAGGCAGTGTTCCCCCCATGCCTCCCCCCCATGGAATTCTAGGGGAGGCTTTAACATGTTAATGAACATGCTGTGAGCTATACAAATGCAAACCAGGGTTGCAGGGGGGGTAAAACCCCCCCTGCAACCCAAATCTCTGATACAAAGAGATCAGGTATAGCCTCTTACATTTTAGCTTGAATTGATTTATTTAATTAAAGTATAGAGACCAAAACAGATCTTTAGCTGACAGAGCAATACATTTAGAGCAGTAATTATTTTTTTTTTTAATTTGCATTTAAGATAAAAAATAAAATGTTGTCTGTCAATATGCTCAATTCACAATTACTTAAGTGGAAAAGTTTCAAGAAATGATTCTGAGATGATTCACTTTATAACATGGCGCATTATCCTGTTGGAAGTAGCCATCAGAAGATTGGTACACTGTGGTCATAAGGACATAGGTCAGCATGCTAAATTGGTTTTAAGTGGC